CCCTTAGCCTGTGCGTGTTCACTGAGCAGAGTTTCCTGAGGAAGCAATCTTGCACGCAGTATCACAGCAGTTGCACTCACAGTATACACTTCTCCAGAATAATAAAGAGCAAATAGAGTAGTTTTAGGAACAGTTAACATCTGTTGAACTGCTGTGTGCTAGGCACTTTGACTTTTTGGGGGAGGGAGGTGCTAGGGATGGAGCCCAGGATCTTGCGCATGTTAAACAAGTGCTGTATTGCCGAGCTCATTTTCTCAGCTGTTTGTTTTTTTGTTTTTTGTTTTTTTTTTCTTTTTTATGTATTTAGTACAGGGTCTACAGGGTCTCAATTCGCAGATCCGACTCGTAGTGATTCTCCTGTTTGCAGCCTCCCAAGCGCTGGGATTACAGGTGCGTGCCACCACACTCAGTCTCAGTCGCCATCTGGGCACACCCCGGGGGTGGGGCCAGCACAGCATGCTGGTGATTGAACCCCAGGCCCTGCATCTGCCTAAGCAGGCACTTTAATCTGCTGAGCTATCTGGCTGGCCCTTCTTTGGCTTTTTGAGAGTTACCTATGTAGGTAGCCCAGCAGGCTGGGCTTGAACTGTTTCTGTGTCTCCTGTCTCAGCCTCCTGAATGCTGGGTTAAGCTTTCTATGTAATAATAAAGACATTATTTAAATAATAATGAGTAAGCTACTGCTGTAGAGCAAAGAACTAAAGTACAGAAAGAGTGAATAACCCCACCCCAAAGTAATACTTACATTTTTTTCTTGGTGTTGGAAATCTAACCCAGGGCCTTGCAAGTGCTTAACACTGAAACGCCCCCTAAATAAAGCTCAGTGTTTTGGGGTGAAGAAGCCAAAAAGGGAAACCCTTTAAAATGGAGTTCTGCAACAAATTTAAATAACTGCAAAGCCCAACTGAGGGTTTTTGACTTTTATGCCTCCTTCGGGGGTTGTTTTTGGGTTTGTTTTTTGTTTTGCACTGGGAATTGAACCCAAATCTCTCACACTGAGCTGCATCCCCAACTCTTTTTTACTTTTTTTTTTTTTTTTAAGTTACTGAGGTGGCAACTGTCTATAATCCCAGCATGGGGAAGGGGATCACCATGAGTTCCAGACCAGCCTGGGCTATATGGTGATTTCCAGACCACCCTAAGCTATACATCAAAACCCTTTCTCAGTTTAGTTTTTATTTTTGTTTGAGATAGGGTGTGGCTAAGTTGCCCAGCCTGAGCTTGAACTTGGGATGCTCCTGCTTCGGCATCCCAGAGTGATGGCCTTACAGGTGTGTGCTGCTGCACCTGACTAAGTCTCTTGCTTTGATGGTTGATCTAGGTGGGGAGGCCCTGGTCTCCCCGCTTCCTCTGTGTTCCTGAACAGCCATCTGCCTGCTCAGTGTTGAGGCTGTGATATCTGACCTTTTGCCAAACTCTTGAAGGAATTACATCAGCTAAAATCTGCTTCAGCTGATTATAAAAGGGGAGCTTTGCAAAGGAGTCAGTGGTGAAGTAGATGTGCTACCTGTAGGGGTTTTTGTTGTTGTTGTTCTTCTGTATTACTGAGGATGGAATGCAGAGCCTTATATATGCTAGGCAAGTGCCTGCCGCTGAGCTGCAGCTCCACCTCACTCACAGATGTTGGGATGATCATTTTTAATTAAAGCTCATTCACTGGCCTCCGGTGTGTGTGAGGAGGTCACTTAACCTCTTTACCTGTCAAGTGGCAGTTGTATTTATCAAGACAGATCAGTTAAATTGTGCAAAAGGATTTTTGCAAACTGTAGGTACATGAGAAAGGAAGCCCTTGGTCAATATAAAGGACTAGGTAAATGTTAAGGAAGATTAGGAAAGAACTGGCCAAATATGGAGTTCCTCATTTTGAGAACATTTGTCGGTATAAGACATAAAGAAAACCCAGGTGTTGTGGTGCGTGCCTATAATTCCAGCATTTAGGAAGCTGAGGCGGGAAGATTGTGAGTTTGACGCCTGCCTGAGCAACCATATGACCCTGTGTCAAGAAACAAGAAAAAGACACAGAAAAGCGTAATAAACTTTTTTTTTCCTACACTGGGGATTGAATGCAGGACCTTCACACTGAGCTATATCCCTACCTCTTTTTTATTTTGAGACAAGGTCTTGCTAAATTGCCCAGTCTCAGTTTAAATTTGTAATCTTCCTGCCTCAGCCTCCCAGAATGCTGGGAGTGTAGGCATATGTTACCATAGCTAGCTGGGAACATATTTCTTAGGAAAGTTCATGACAGATTTGGCATCAAGAAAAGAGCTGGATATGGTGATGCTCTCCTGTAATCCAAGCACTTAGAAGGCTGAGGCAGGTGGTTCACTGTGAGTTTAAGGCCAGCCTAAAATGCATAGTGAAACCCTATCTCAGAAAGAAAGGTCACATAGTGAAGCCATTGAAAGCTGGCCTTTGTAATTTGTAATAGTGGTTTCATATTGGGAGTGCCTGTCATTGTGGTATTCTGAACACGGGCTGCTTGTCATGACATGCCAGTTACTGCTAAGATGTCTCTCGGGT